ATTGCGTGTGGACCGAGCAGCACGTGAAAAATCAAGCTTTGACCGAGCAAGAAGAGAAAATCACGTGTTGGCCCAACCAGCAAAAAGCCCCATCTTGAAAGTTGTGCATATGATATATTTGGTCATTGAGCTCAAACCATCCGAGCAGATTAAGCCATAACTACTCAGACCATCTATGTTGCTACACCATCCGAGCAGATGCCCCGGCTGTGTATCTGAACAGATTAATAATTCGATGTCCGAGCAAATTAAAATGCTTACCCGAGCAACTTATCCAATTCCGGAGCCGAACAGATTAATAAGTCCATATCCGAACAAATTAAATGAGTCCATATCCGAGCAGATTAATTTGTTCACGAGCCGAGTGGATTCCATTAAGTCTCACCCGAGCGGATTTCTTAGCTCACGAACCGAGCAGATTTAATAAATTCAATCCAAGCAGATTAAAAAGCCCCACCTGAGCAGATTAATAAATTCCATCCGAGCAGATTAGTTGCTCGTGAATTGAACCACCCGAGCAGATTAAAAAATCCCACCCAAGCAGAATAATTAGTGCTATCCAAGCAGATTATTTAACTCGCAATGGTCATTGTCCAGTCATCAATGCCATCTGTCATCATGCACGTCATATCATATCCCTAAAATACTGATCACTTAATTTGTACTTGTAATACTTGGGCCACGTGCCCACTACTGTATCTAGCATTATTTGCAAATTTGCACTCCAAATTACTTTTAGGATGATAATGATGATGGCCCACATAGTTGGCCAAATTATTACTCTGCCCCAACTCTTTTATCCGAGCAGAAAATGGAGTATGGGCTACTCATCTACCCCACTAACTTTATCTAAGCAGAAAGTGCGAACCGAGCTACTCACATGTGTCGATATGCGGGTCTTTCACCTGCTCGGTCCATGAGAAACCAAGCCAACATTATGCCTATTACACAGCTCGGTTCATAAGCGAAATATGAGGATTTATCATTTGCTCGGTCCGTGAGGAACCGAGCAAGCACTATGCTTGAAACTATGCTCGGTTCATACGTGAGGCATAAGGATTGTTCATCTGCTCGGTCCATAAGAAACAGAGCGAGCACCTTCCGTGTTTCAACATGTGGGTCTTCCACCTGCTCGGTCCGTAAGAAACCGAGCCAATACTATGCGTGATTCGTCATCTACTCGGTTGTAACTACAATAAACCGAACAAACGCGCAAATGTCGCCACAAGCGAGGCATCCTTGACACTCCATCTTATCGTATACTCACATAAAACTGAGCAAATGCCCCAATATCCATGTGTTCGGTTTATGCCCGCCTCACTGCCCAAGCAAGGCTAATTGACTTCGAAGTAAATCACCGCCAAGTAACCTGCTCGGTACATAGAACCGAGCCATGGAATCCCCAAGTCGCAAAGTCCGGTCTCCACATAAGACCGAGCAAATGACGGAGCATGGTCCTACCTCACGTCGAGACCATAGCCAAACTACGAGCCTGGTCTTAAGCTGCTATCTCTTTCGAACAGCACCCGAACTCACGAGAGTTCGGCCTTAAACCGTCCACTGTGGAACAACACCCAAACTCACAAGAGTTTGGCCTTAAGCCGTCACCCTTTTAAACAGCACCCGAACTCACAAGAGTTCGGCCTTAAGCCGTCATCCTTTCGAACAGCACCCGAACTCACAAGAGC